CAACGTGATTAAGGTTGGGTTAGAAAGTTTAGGGATGCATTGCACTTATAAGGTGCGATAAAGGATTGTGAAGAGGTATGATAGTAGTACGTTAATCCAACACAACCCTTTGAACCATTAATGCATCTGGTGGTTGTGTCTCGTGACGAACAGACACCATGTTTCAGATATTTTCATAATAATGATAAATTGCATTTGATCTAAAACGTTACAATGGATGGTGAAGTGATGCACCTAGTCCCAATAGACACCACTTGTCTATAAATACTTCTATGGGCTGCATTAATTTAACGTGCAATTGATTATTCTCTCCCTCTCTCAAGATGAACCCCACCCAAGTGGGTGTGGGTTCAAGCCATAGTCAAGTGTTTGAGCCACTTAGGCCGAAAACCAATTTCATTGAGCCATATTAAATTTGGTCCGAGCCATTTGGTTCGGATTGCACCCAATTCATTTTTTATATAGTATAGATACATTTTTGAGTCAGAGAGAGTATTACCCGGAGGAGGTTCGCTGTATCCATGAGTTTGTAGTGCTGCTACTGGTGGATGTAGAGTGTTGTATCCTGGGAGATAGACGTCATTGAGTCGATTAGCACCATAGCGGGGCCAATCTGTCTTAAAGACATAGTATTCAATACTAGCCTCGATCTAGGTTCTTTATTTATTATTATTATTTTATTGCTTTAATTTGCATGTTTAGTTAAATATCTAGTTAAATATTTAATTAATTATTTTTAGCATATTACAAATATCTTATGGCATATTAGTATAGGGTTAGTTATATCTTAAATGTCACATGAAGCATATATTTACCAACACAAATAAGAATCTCTGTGATGTTTCACAAATATTCAATTTTTCGACATTTTTTTTATTTTATTTTTCAGCCCGAGAGACCTATGTGGGTCCCATACCAAGATTTTTGGGTCCTGAAATTTATTTTTCGGTATTTATTAACGGTTTTAAATATTATTTATCAATTGTGTAAGGGTGGAATTGGTATTTGATATAGAAAGAGTATTGTTGTGAATTAGTGGCATTGAAGGGGCATTATAGTCATTTCCTTGGTCTAACCTTTGACCAAACCTTTGTGTGGCACTAATACAACCATGTGGAAGATTTTCTACATTGTTTTCGGCATCTGCTTCTTTTCTTCTTCTTCCTCATTTTCTCTCTTTTTAAACCCATTTTATTCCTCCATTATTGTGTTTTTAGAGCTTGATTTTGATGACTTTCTAGAGGGATTTTAGGGCTGCCATGGGAATGAAAAATATCCCTTAGAGAGAGGGTTTTCCATTGAGTAAACATCAAGCTCATTCCCTCAATTCTGATTTTTCGAATTCCCTTGGAGTGGGAATTTTGTGGTGCTTCAAGAGAGGATTTTGTTCCTCTTTTCCTCTTCTTCATCTTGGTGCTTCTTGGCAACCATTTGGTGAACCTTTGATTTTGAAATTTGGGGGCTGTTGTGAAGATCTTGCTTGGTTAAGGTAAAGGTTGTCCTAAACCTCAATTCCTTTGTTTTTCTTGTGAATTAATCTCCTTAGTTGAACCATTATATGGCTAGAATTGAAATTTCTTTACAAGCATGTTATGTAATTAAATCTGAAATTTATAGTTTGTATATTAATGGTGTGTTGTGGTTTTTTTTAAACTGAAAATTTTGTCCTCTAAGTATTGGATGTGTTTATGTGCATAGAACTAAAATTCTAGTAATTACAATGGTTGGGTAGTTGTGCTTATAACTGAATTTCCTATGATAATTCACCTCAACCATGAAATTGTTTTGTTGTAAGCTTTTTGTTGTTATTGTGTTGTTGTTGTAAGTCTAAAATTTTGTAGGTTACACGGGGATGATGTGTTATTTGTTTTAAACATTGAATTAGAGCTCTTCTTAATGTCAGTTGTGTTTCTATGTATAAAACTGAAATTCTAGTAACCATAATGGTTGTATTGTTGTTGTTTAGATGCTGAAAGTTTGATGTTTAGTTTACCTCACTTATGGGCTGTTTTGTTCTAAGTTGGTACATTGTCCTTAAAGCGTGCATGATGGTTTTGATGTTGGGTGTTCTTTAAACTGAAAAATTAGTAATTACAACGGTGGTGTTATAGTTGTATATGAAACTGAAATTCGTACCTTGTTTCTAAAGCATGAATAAGACTGTTTTGTTGTAAGGATTGTAATGGTTGTTATTGCTCGAAAACTGAACTAGGACCTTGACTTTAAAGCATGAATGATGGTGTTGTTGTGGGTTCAAAACTGCCATTTTAGTTTGCTATCATGTGCAACTTATAGAACTGAAATTTTGTGCAACTTATAGAACTGAAATTTGATGTTGGAAATGATATAACATTATGAGACTATGAAATGTGTCATTCATGCATTACATTAGGTACTACATGGGGCAGAACAGATTTTTTTTAAAAAAAGAGAAGATTGTATTTTTAAAATGAAAGCAAAAATCTGAAATTTGGAAAAAATATTTGATGGAATTTTAGATAATAGGGAGAGACATTGGCACCTCATTAACATTGCATTTCACTGCGTTTACGATATCGTATTATGTGATGATTATTACTTCCCGAACAAGTATGACCCTTTTTTTCTTATCGTTATTCTCTGTTTGGATTCACGGAGGCATTAAGCAGTGCATTTTAGGCATCTTCTACTGAATCGTTATACTCACTCCTTACTATTATTTTTCAGGACACGGAAAGAAAATGACGAAAGACATTCCCCCACAGGCTTAGTCAGGACTTAACGGACTTTCTTGTATTAATTTTCGTTGTATATACAAGTTTTGTAAAATTTTAAACTTGTTTTGTGTCTCTTTCGTAAGCTTATGTTCAGGGATTGTAGTCGGATGCAACGTATTATGTAAATGAACTTTTGATTTTTTGTCTATGTGTGTGATCATGATATTACCATTATAGATACATGTGGTGACTATTGTGGAACGGGGTTAGCCTTTAATATGGCTCATAAATGAGTTCAGAAATTGCAAGACTTTTAAAACTTAGAATCCATATTTCAGTTTTTAGATTTGGTATGTTGTGTTTCCTTATAGTTTAGAATTGGTAATGACTGTAGTGGCAGTAGATGATCTCGGGTTCAAGTAAGGACTTGGATACGGTTCGGATCCCTGGGTTCAGGCCATTACAATCTCCTTCGTTACATGATTTCTTCTTCATATAAATAGATATAAAATCTATAGGTCAATTACTTAAAAATACATTTTGTGTAACAGCCCTTCCTATCTAGTTCTCATGGTTTACATCAACTACTGCAACTTTTTTTGAATTACGTGAATCCTATATTTTCTTTAAAAAATAATTTAATGAAAGTAAAGTGAGTCAACGCATCTAAATTGAATATATAATTATGGATCAATGTTTTTATTTATTTATTTTTTTAGGACAGTACTCTTCAATGTGTCCTTTTCTCAAGTTTGATACCTCATGATTCATCTATATATATATATATATATATATATATATATATTTGATAGAATTGAAGACGTATGCCCCTTCATTCACATTTCTGTTCGTTTAAAACTTGTATTTTTTTTTAGGTGTTAAATCATATAGTTGTTGAAAACTTCAACCAAAATGGAGAGTTCATCAATTGGGTGGGGAGCATTCACCTCCTCATGTCGGTTAATTTTTTCGTTAAAAAAATTATTATTCATCACAATTAGTCCTTGAGGATGTTAAGGATCTCAATTTGTAATTAATATTTGGGGTTTCTAAGACTCAATTAATGATTCATTTAAGAATGCAAAATTTGACACAACTCATAACACACAGACGTGCGTGTTTAGATTGATCTCGTGTTCCATTTAACCTGTCTAGTTAATCATGTCGATTTCAAGTTTGAGATTCAGCCCATTTAACTCATTTGGCCAGTTTAATTAATTGGATCATAATTGTATTAAGTCATATCATAACAAATCACAATAATTAATTATTGTTAGGATGGCTTCCTCATTCTCTCTTCAAAAACCACCTCTGATTAAAAAAAGTAATAACTCTTTTTGTTTTTTTCTTACATTTGTAAAATTCATAATGTTCAATAACACATTCCTCTTATGTGAATATATGAATAAAAAACAAAAAAATTTATCAACTAATGTTGTACAAATGCACCATTGACAAACAATATAAGTGAATTTTAAAATTAAGAAAATAAAAAGTATAATTTAAACAATGGAAAGATACATATTGGACTTGGATTTTTTTTTTTTACTCTGGGTTCCAATGCAGATTACATCAACAATTATTAAATTGACAATGTAATACATATGCAACAAATAATGTAACACTCGTGTAACTTAATATCGAGAATGCTAACATTTATATAATATACTTCATTGAGTTGTAATACTACAATATAATTATTAAATATAAAAAATAAAACATCTTATTGTTAGCGTAGGTTTTACATTATCGATTTCAATTTATAAGTATTGAACGTAAACGTAAATGTCCGCATGACATGATGCTGATTCTATTCACACTGTACTTTTCTTCTGCTTTTTTGTTCTCCATATACCTTTTTTTTTCTTTTATATAAAATAAAATAACACAATTGTCTTTAAAAAAATGTTCAGTTATTTAAAATTTATACTTGTCCTGTTACACTTGATAATTTATTAATTAAAAAGGAATAAAATGTGAATATTATCTCTCTTACAAAATACAAATGCCAAAGAATGATCGGTGTAATTTAGTGTTAAGAAAAAAAAAAAAAAAAAAAAAAAAAAAAGACACACACAATGTGTTGAAAAATATATATATATATATATATATATATATATATATATATATCCTGAAAATACCAATAAATTAGTAGGGAAAATTAGTATAGGCACAGCCACAGGCGATCTCGGTTGTAAAAGGGACGTGCGACTCCGCACGTGCGCGAAGTATAAGACGTCTCCATTCCCAACGGACACTTACATAACGGCTATTTTTTCCCTTTCTCTCCCGACTCGCTTTTCGCTTTCCTTCACTACACAGCCCATAACTCACTCTCTGTCTCTCTCTAACTCAAGTCCATCGAATTCTCCGGCTTGAGAAAGTGAATTTTCGACACTTGATGCATATTCTTGATCACCCAAGAAACGGGTTTGAAGGTCTATATCGAAAGGAGTCATCATCAAATTGTAATCGGAAAAGGTCAAAATGCGGACAGCCGACAAGAATTTTCCGGCGAGGGGTTTCTCCACCCCTCCTCCGTCGTGGAAGTCGAAGAGGACGTCGCCTATGATGCCGGCATCGGAGAAGAAGCCTCAGGCCAAAGGTGATCTTTTTCATGTCATTCATAAGGTGCCCGCCGGCGATTCTCCGTACGTCAGGGCCAAACATGTTCAGGTAATAGAATTTTCGAGTCTGTAATGCGAATTGAATTAATGATTTGTTGTTGGTTTTTGGTGGGGTTTGGGAAATCTCATGTGAGTAAGAATGTGGTCTTTGTATTTTCCAAGAATTTCAATTTTCTTTGTTCACTTGTTCGCTGTTATTTCCTTGTAGTTCTATAGATGCTTGAATGTTCTTTATGTCTGATTTTTCATGCGTATTTATTATGTGGGTGTTTACTATATGCTTGCGATGTTTCAAACTGACCCTTTTGGTCTTTTCTTGCTATTCTTGTATGAAACTATTTTCCTGGAAAAAATGTTTTCTTGTTGAATTGGCAAGATTTGTAACACCCCCTGGATTTTTATTGAAGTTTTCTGATTTTTTTAGTCATGTAGATTACCCATACTCTATTGGTAATGATCGATTAAATTCACTGGTTATTGCATTCTTTTACTTGTTTATGAGTTGTTGATATTCAACACTTCTATTGCAGTTGAAAAACTCTCTGAATTTTAAGATAGTTTTCTGGTAAAAAAAAAAAAAAAAAAAAAATTATGCTTTTCTAATCAACAGATCACCTAATTAGAATTGATGTGAAAAATGAGTGAATGCATCATTTTCCTTTTTCTTTTCTTTTTTCCCCATAAAGGGGTTGATTTCATTGAAAAAGATAAGCTTTCAGTACAGAGAATGAAAAGGACCATTTCCAATATAAAAGGAAGCTAATAAAGAATAGAAAGACAAGAAGTCTAGAACTAATTACACAGATCATTAAAAGTAGCAATGGCACCCACATCCATGACCTAAAAAGCAATAGATCTAGCAACATCAATAGCATTTCTATGTACTCCCCTAATGCAACCTGCAATTCCGTTCTCTCCAAATAGTCCACAGAGTAGTAGTTATAAGTTATAACTATGGCCAACATTTTCCTTTTCCTTCCACCGCAGTTGATGAACACATTCTGTTAGCCAGATAAATTAAATCACATTGAATTATTGTTGGTTCTTTTTTGTGCAGGAAAATTACCCATTTAGATGTTTTTGGTCAAAATTGAGTGAATTAATCTTTCTTTACTTTTGTTTTTATTTCTGTGTTATAATGTTAAATTTTTGAGAATAGTTTATAGAACCTGAGTTAACTGATTAAATTATTTCTAATTTGGTTATGGAAGATTAGCTATTCTTCAGCCAAAACATGAGTGATTATTTCTTCATGTTTATATATGCACAATTTGACTTAAGTTTTCAAATTACAGTTGATTGAAAAGGATCCAAGTAGGGCCATTTCTCTGTTCTGGGCTGCTATTAATTCTGGTGATCGAGTTGATAGTGCCTTGAAGGATATGGCAGTGGTAATGAAACAACTGGATCGATCCGATGAGGCAATTGAGGCAATTAAATCTTTCCGTCATCTATGCCCCCATGAAACTCAGGAATCTCTTGACAACGTTCTTGTTGAACTTTTCAAGGTAAAGGACCAGTAATATTGAAAATCCACATATGTATTTTGTTTTCTAGATTTTTATATGTTTAGCATGGCATTATCAATAAGTCTAGATATAAGTAATTTTATTTTGGGCATTTATGCGGATATATTAATGTATTTTGTTGTCCATTGTATGCAAATTACTGGATTGTTGTATGTTCAGTATAGATTAGCAACTAGTCTGGATATAAGTAATTTTATTTTGGGTATTTATGCGGATATGTGAGTGAATTATTCATTTTTCTCCTTGCTCAAATTGAGAGAGATAGAGCTATCGCATAAAACCTTTGTTAGCTAAAATATTTAAAAGGTCGTAGAGGGGTAGAGCTATGACATAAAACCTTGTCACAGTATATGGAGGAAATCAGAGAATGATTATAATTGAGGATTTATTGTTTATTTTTTTACCTTTTCTGAATTTCCCATTTCCTTTTCTCTGATAAAGACTATGGACCATAGATTTTCGAAATTTCCAATCATATGGATAATCTCCTGTTATTGAAGTTACATCTTTGTGAGTGTCCATGTGCATGTTTTTGTAGAGATCTGGTCGTATCGAAGAACAGATTGAAATGCTTCAACTTAAACTGAAGCACATTGAAGAAGGTATAGCATTTGGTGGGAAGAGGACAAAGGCAGCTAGGTCTCAAGGGAAGAAGATACATGTCACAATTGAACAGGAGTACTCAAGGTGGACACTGTATTGGTTTATCATCTTTTCTGAATGTCTATTTCTTAATTTTTTTGAAGTTTTCTGATTTTACAGCCTTCTCAAAATGCAGGTTATTGGGAAACTTGGCTTGGGCCTACTTACAGCAAAATGATTATAAATCTGCTGAAGAGCTTTATAGGTATGTTGTTTATAAATATCTACTAAGAAGTTTACATACATATGTAGCATTAAGTTTGTCAAAAGAAGGGCACTTTCTCATAGAAAATATTTTGATGCAGAAAAGCACTTTCTCTTGAGGCGGATAAGAACAAGCAGTGCAATCTGGCAATCTGCTTGATGCACATGAACAGGATGACAGAAGCTAAATTTTTGCTTCAAACCATAAGAGCTTCATCCGAAGATGGACAAATGGATGAGTCGTATGCTAAATCATATGAGCGTGCTTTTCAGATATTCACTGAATTAGAATCACACTCCAGTGTGAAGCCTGTTGCTGGGGAAGGAGAGAGCCATAAGGAAATTCGAAGTCTTCCCACATCCCTTATTTGTTCTGACAATGGAATTTCAAAAATTGCACCATATGGATCAAGAAATGGTTCACAGTCTTCTCCAAAGACTTCATTTGCCGATAAATTGAAAGGATGTCACGTTAGAAACCAATATGAAAGAAGGATGGCTGATTTTGGTAGCAGAAGTAAGGACAACAGGATTAATATGAATGGAAGAGAAGTAGGTTCTACTGGAAAGAATGTGTTTACTTCTCCACTTCCTGCCAGGGGAATTCCTAAAGTCCCATTTACACAACCCAGATGTTCATGGTCATTCAGTAATGGAGATCAGAGGAGTGCATTGGTGGGGGATGATCCGGTTGGTGGCTGCAATCGTAAATTATCATTTGAGCAATCTACAACCACTGAAAATGTGGAATTACTGGCCAACCAAAATCTTGATAGACAATTACCAGGTTCTACAAATGGACGGACGAAAGCAGTATTGCAGAATAAAAGAAGTACTAGTCAAGATTGGAGAAAGCGGGCATGGGGAACTCGTGCTGAAGTGAACAATGAATCTGTTCTATGGCCTACTGTTATTGGAAACTCGAAGATGAATTCATGGGAAACTGGTGGGCAGAAGAAATTGGCAACGAAAGAGAGTAATTCGCCTATGGAATCAGCAGTTGATGTTAAATATATGAGAGCAATGGAAGCTTCCTCTGATGGAGATTGGGATCGGAGTTCCAAAATTACTGTTGCGGGCAATGTGGGATTGAAAGAAACAGTTGAATCCTTTGCAGAATATATGAATTCAACCCAGGAACCCCAGAGCCTAAGCCAGCCTACTGAGCGAAATCTGGCAAACCCCCAGGAATTCTCCGAGTGTAAAAGTAAGAAGAGTTGGGCAGATATGGTTGAAGAAGATGAACAAGAGTTATTAGTTGGAAATTCTGATTTTCCAGAAAATACATGGGCTTTCCATACTCCAAGCAAGTGCTCTGATGATTGGAATTGTGGAGAAGAATTTAATGACGAAAATTCTAATTCCAACATAATTAGTCAATCATATTATCCACTGGATCAGATTGAGAATCTAAGCCAAAAGATAGAATCATTCAATTTGAAAGATGGATATTATAGCCAACCTCAGAATGATGCTTCATCAAGGAATCAAACAGCGCGACGGTCTCTATGTTTTGATCAGAACAAGAAGCCAGACAGAGCAGATAGCTTCTGTTCATCTCCATTGACGAAAAAGACCTTGAATTTTCAAGGGCATGACTCTTTGCTGTCTAATGAAAGGGAGTGCACTCTGGGGAGTGGTATAAGATTGATGAGGAGAAACAGATTGCAGGTTTTCAGGGAGATAACTCCTGAAAGTCCACGACCTTGAACTCGAGTTTCTATTAGACAGGAAAAAAGAAAAAGAAAATGCTTCCATACCAACTTCATTGGTTTAACCTGATTTAGTTTGTGCTGAGTTCTGATTCACTTGCATTTTTATTTGGTGTTACTTGTGTTATTGCTGCATTTATTGTTGCATTTTTTTTGTACATATGTGAGTTAAACATATATTCATTTACTTTAATGAAGAACTTCATTTTGAATTCTTATATTTTTGACGTTCCAGTAAAACTCTTGGGAACACTATGGTGATGCCTGATTTTTTTTTCCTAGCCTGATAATAACAGGAAATATATCCACAAAAATTTCTTTATTGTTGATGGGAACTTAGTAGTTGAAATGGCAATTTGCTAATTTGAATAACATATAACCACATTACTTTATATTCAATGATTGCCATTATGAATAGTTAGCTTTAAGTTAATACAGCTGTATCAATAAGAGTACCTTTAAGTTAAGAAGATCAGTATTGGGTGCTAGCCCTAACACATTTTCAGCGGACAACAAAGGGAATCGAAGCATATAAATAGACAGCTCAAGGGTCTAGTTCTTTCAGTTGACACAAAATGTGTCAAGTTAGAATTCAATAAGTCAAAGTGTGCTACCATGATCTTTATTACAACTTATCTTATTTTTAGTTATACATTTCATTCGTTATAGTGTTTCTTTCACTTGTTTATGGAAATGGCCTACTTGGTAAGTCTTATGCTTGAATCGAAGGCCCTGTAGAATTGACTTGAAAGTCTTGTACCTTTGAAAAAAAAACCATAGAAATAAAAGTGACTCCATAACAGTCCTCTTTTTTTTTCTTCAAGAAAGAAACATATCAACAATCAAACTTAAATTACCTATTTATATACCCCATGACTCTCTTCCCTTCCCCAATCATAAGCTTTTCAATTCTAGTTCAAATTCTACTATCTCTAGCAATTTGTAAGTACTTATTCACAAAGCAATAGAAAAGTGAAAATGAGAAGCAGAGGACACAAGCAGAGCAAGTTGAAACAAATCATTGGTGCACCAGCCAGATTTCTAAGCCAGGCTAGAGACTTTTATGTTGATAGCATGGTCAGTTTCGATGGGAAGGTAGGCTATGGCAATATGATGGGCTGTCCAGCTCCGCAAATGACCAATTTCCCAAGCAATTTATTGAAAAAGAAGGATGAAAGGGAGCTTTTTCGAATGGTGTCCTTGAAGAAGGTGGAGTTGGACAGCCGTCGGCAACCAGGATGGCGACAGCCGGTGGTGGGTCCGAATGGCATAAGGAGGAGTTACAGTGTTGGGTTAGGAAAGATTGGAAGAATTGATGAAGACAAGGCTTGTGATTTTGGGGAAGAAGAGATCAGCGTGAAGAGTGATTTCTTGTTTGCAAGAAGCAGGAGCTATGCTGTCACAAAGAGGAATGTTGGATATTGTTAAAACAAGATTACTAGTTGCCTTTTTCTTTTCTTTTTCTCTTTTTTTTTTTCATCCTAATGAAGGTGTTTGAGCAATTGAGCATAACAGTAGCCTATTATTTTTCTATTCCATCTCAATGGAGATGTGATTGATCAATATACAATGAAAATTTATTTCTTTTTATTATTATTGGGAAATTTTCTTCTTCTGTAAGCTATTTTTTTAAAGCTATATATGCCATTTGTGATCAATTCTATTGACTCAAATGTAAATTAGCCCAAAAATAGAAAATGTAAGGTCAAACAGTATTTGACCACCAATATATAGATCTCAACAGAGACACTTAGGGACCCAAGAAAATCGAGTTCCACTAAAGCAAATGTGGGATATTACTTCAAAGAAGTAAATGGTGGGTTGAAGTAGTATTTAGTGAAGTTACCATTTTCCATTGAAATTGCAACAGCATAGAAATGGGATAAAAGGCTGCTATCTTTAGCAATTAAAATCCATAAAAACTGCAGAAGCAAATGTTATAGAAAAAAAAAAGTGCTATTTAAGAGGGGGAAGGGGGGGGGGGGGGGGGGGGGGGGGGAAGTGGTTTGGGGAAACAAATTTACATATCCCAATAACTAATATATAACTGTGAACACCATATCAACTTCAAATAAAGAACAGAGCTTAATTAGAGTGAGTCCAGAGAAAGAATGGGGAACAATCAAGGAAAATCAGAGATTAATTAAATGGGACTAATAGAAACTTCAAAGGCCTATAATCATACACTGTGAAATGTATATGATATCTCCTAAAAATCGTTTTCTTTCCAACCTTTTTTTTTGGGCTGGTTAAGTATGGCTTCTCAATTTTGGTAGCTTCTTCTCTTGACCGAGTTGTACACTCAATGGTCTTCGACTATTTATTTGTATCTATAAGAAAATACATAAGTGACAGTGATTTGCTGGAATCATACATAGTAATTAACAAAAAGGGTGATTCGCGAGGATGATTCATACCTTCTGCTAGCCCTTTATACATAGTTGTTATGTGACGTCCCACATCGCTTGGGTGAGAGGTTTCATAAGAATTATATGTGTGAACATCTTCCAACTATGTAGATGTCTTTTGAGAAAAACCTTGACCACCAAGAGGAGAGTGTGCAAAGCTTATAGACAATATCTACACGGTATGAATGGTGTGAGCTGACTAATAGTATCTGAGCCAATCCCCTGAAGAAAATGGATTATTTCATTTATGAATATTTAGAATGCTTTAGTAAAACTCTTGGGACTCTAACTGTAATGCCTGTTTTTTTTTTTTTGGCATGTAACCAATAATGCTACTTCATAAAATTGTTATTGAAGATTGTACGAAGAAGTGAACAACCAATATCATTAATCTTATTGTTGCGTAGGTTTAATTAAAGATTTTAGATCCATATTCCTATGCGTCACTTAGAAAACTGACACCTAAGCTTGTTATGGACTGCAGCCTTTTTCAGAGAAATTTTGGAGTTCTTTTTATGGTTAGTGTTATGACTAGTAAATAAAGCCTCAGGACTTTGTTGTGACCAAAATTTTCCTACAGGGTAGGAAATGAACATTATGAAAAGTGCTTAGCATTTCCAGTTCTTTTTTTTTTTTTTTTTTTTTTTTTTTTTTTTTTTTTTTTAATCGGTCTTGAAACCTTGACCTTGGGATCAGTTAGCATTTATGGCTTTTATGATTTCATTAGGAAGACACGCTATCATCTGAGGGATAATGAATTAGGGAGGAAGGTTGTAAATTGTAATAGTGATACTGATATAAACCGTACACAGGCCACATTTTTGCGAGTAAATTATGTAAAATTTTGGAAGCTTTTGCATGTTCTCATGTGCATTACCATCACTATCATACAACGGAATGTGTTTCATGGAGCCAAAGGGCCTTTGGCCCAACGGTATAACGTTCCCATCTTCAAAGATAAGGGGAGGGATTCGAGTCCCGGTGTGGGCAAAAAAGTGTGTGTGTTTGATTTACCATAAAAAATAAATAAATAAAAACGTGTTTCATGGATCTGTTTTAATTTTTTGGTAAGATAGACCTAAATTCTTGTGACAAAACAAAATTCGCGTCCGAGAGGAACCTATGTAAGTTAATACTGGTGTACCAATAAGAGTACCTAAGCAAATGAATGAGCAGACACAACAAAGGGCCAAACATGGGAATCTAAGCAAGATGATATATAGACAGTGAAATGGTCTAATTTCAGTGGACACTATTAGAGATACTCCTTCATCGATCAAGCTTCAATTGTCAACGTATCTTCGGCTGATTCACTTCAACATTTACATAAATAATTTCCCAATTATAGCGGCAATTTATATAATTAATTTTTCCCATTTTTGATAATTGACTGTATCATATAATTAGGATCTTCTTTATTTATTTATTTACCATACTTAGATAGAATTTTATTGTATCATATAATTAGGATTTACCTATATTTATTTATCATATTTAGATAGGATTTTACATGTTTATAATTAACACAATGAAATAATGATATGTGTGCGCATTTCACTCTATTATTCTCTTTATTTCTTTTATGGTATCAGAGCTTCTTGCTCAAACGAGTTCTTCAATGGCCGATAACGAATCCTCTCTCAATACTATCACCCCCTCTCCTTCTTTCTCAAATACTGTTGTTAATCCTCTAGGATCCAGCAACACTCTTATCTCCATTAATGTTGCAGCTCAAGCCCCACTAAAACTTACTCCTTCCAACTACACACCTTGGAGAGCACAGTCCGATTCTCTTCTAATTGGATATGACCTTATGGGTTATATTGATGGAACTCCGGAAAAAGTTAATACAAGTTCTTCACTTTGGATCCACCAAGACAAACTTCTCTCTAGTGCTATCTTGGCTTCCCTTTCTAATATGCCCGTGTCGACAAAATCCCGACAAAGCTTGTCTTGCAGCAAAGGGCTTTCATCAGCGCCCTGGAATTGATTATACAGATACATTTAGTCCTGTTGTCAAGCCAAAGATGATTCGGGTTGTTCTTTGTCTTGCACTTTCTCGTGGCTGGCCACTTCGCCAACTTGACGTGAATAATGCCTTTCTTTCTTCATGGGTATCTCACCGAGAAAGTCTACATGTCTCAACCACCAGGTTTTATTAATCCCACATTTCCAAGACATGTCTGTAAATTGCGCAAAGCCCTATACGGACCACGAGCATGGTACATTGAACTCAAGAATATTTTTTTATTATTAGCAGGTTTTTCGGATATCAATGTTCATATACTATCATGATGGAATTTTGATTTACTTGTTAGTATATGTTGATGATTTAATTGTGACGGGTACCGATACATCATGATTCACAACCTTATTGCTCAGCTTTCTGATAAATTCTCTATCAAAGATCTTGGGACTCTCAACTATTTTCTTGGTGTAGAGGTCATCCCCACTCGTCAGGTCTTCTTTGTCTCAACACAATGTATACAAGATCTCCTTGATAGAACTGCCATGCTTGAGGCAAAGGAGGTTCAGACGCCCCTATCCACAAGCTCATCTCTCCCTATTGCTGATGGTTCCAACCTCTCCGATGCCACTGAGTATCAACGGGTCGTCAGCAGTCTTCAATATTTGTCAATCACTCGTCCGGACATTGCATTCACAGTAAACAAGCTCTCGCAATTTATGCACAAGCCCACTACTCTTCATTGGGCTGCTGCCAAACGTCTTATTCGATACGTCAAACGTCTTATTCAATACCTCAAGGGCACGATGTTTCATGGTCTGCTTCTCAAAAATAACTCTCCACTACATCTTCATGATTGGGCGGGGAATAAAGATGACCGTACCTCCACCAGTGCCTATGTTATTTTTCTGGGTCATAATCCAATTTCGTGGAGCTCCAAGAAAGTTAAGAAACAAACGTTATGTTGCTCGTTCCTCAACGGAAGCCGAGTACCTAGCAGTTGCAGCAACAGCAGCTGAATTAGCATGGATTCAATCCTTAACCTGCTATTTACTGTGACAATGTGGGAACCACTTATGTATGCGCCAACCCCGGATGAAGCACATCGCTATTGATTTTCACTTTGTTCGTGACAAGGTTACTAGCGGTGAACTTCCTTTCGACAAAGGTCCAACTCACGGATTGGTGTCTCCATGGGAGCACCGTCTTGTGGGGGCATATTAGAGATACTCCTTCATCAATCAAGCTTCAATCGTCAACGCGTGCTCAAATAAATAGATACTATAGAGGTCCATAAGATTTTTAAGTCATACATTTCATTTGTTTATGAAAATGGCCTACTATGGTTAAGTGTTCTGCTTGAATATGAGGCCCTGTAGCATTGACTTGAAAGTCTTTCTTGTACCTTTGAAAATATCCAGAGAAATCAAAGTGACTCCATAATAGTCCTCTTCAAAAAAATGTCATCGATCCAAGAAAGAAACACATCAACAATCAAACCGAAATGGCCTATATTATATGCCCATGCATGACTCTCTTCCCATCTCCAGTCATCAGCCTTTCAGTGAGAAGCAGAGGACACAAGCAGAGCAAGTTGAGGCAATGCGTTGGCTCACCTGCCAGATTTCTAAGCATGGCTAGAGACTTTTATGTTGAGAGCATGGACAGTTTCAACGGGAAGGCAGGCTATGGCAATGTGATGGGCTGTCCAGCTCAGCAAATGCCAAACTTACCCAACAATTTACTGAAAAAGAAGGATGAAAGGGAGCTTTTTCGAACAGTGTGTTTGACGAAGTGGAGTTGGACAGACACGGACAACCAGGACGGCGACAGCCAGTGGTGGGTCGGAATGGCATAGGGAGGAGTTACAGTGTTGGGTTTGGAAAGATTGGAACAATTGATGAGGACAAGCCTTGTGATTTTGGGGAAGAAGAGATTAGCATGAAGAGTGATTTCTTGTTTGCAAGAAGCAGGAGCTATGCTGTTACAAAGAGGAATGTTGGATATTATTAAGTCAAACAAGATTACTAATACAACCTTTTGAGATATATATA